TAGAACTTAAAATTCTTTCAAGTAGAACTTCCCCGTTCGGCTTCTTCTTTTGGGAACTACCATCCTCGGAGACCCAGGGGCGGTCAGTCGCGATCGGGCCGAGAGAAAAGGCGCGACAAAAGTTTTCAAACACAGGCGGAAAAGCCCCTCGGTACCGACTCTCACCGGACCATTTCCAAACGGTCAAGCGATTGCTGGCTCCTGATTGGGCACAAAAAATGCTTTGTATTATTATGCCGAATCGGCGAACAGCTTTCACAAATTTATCGTCTTATAAGAAAGAAAGGGTAATAAAACTATTCGCGTTCTTCAAAGGCTGCCAAAACGTTGTGGTTTGACGTACGAGTCAATGAAATTTGTCTAAAATTTCGCTTTACCGGAAGTGGATTTTCAGCTCCGAACGGGCAAAATGAGTTTTCTCGAATTTTAACAATAGAACACGTTATTTGGGAAAACTAACTACAGCATGTTTCATCACTCATTAAGGGTTATCGATGAGCCAAAAATGAGCGAAATTCGAATTTTGCACTTGTGCCACAAAAAGTGAATTTTTGTTCGATATTTACGGACAGTCGCTCTTTAAAGCTTAAACAATTATTAGTTCTCAGTGCGTTTTACCTTATTTCTAATTCTTAATAAAATCCAAGATGGTGACCATGTTTGGTGACATCACAGACCTCCAGCAGCACCACCACCCATAAATTATACCTCATCTTCTAGAGAAGATCAAAGGCTTTCTACTGAAGGCAAAATCGTTTCGAAATACTGTAACATATCAAAAATCCAAGGAGGGTTCCATCAAACCCCCCCCCCTCCTTGTACCACGGTGAGGATATAACTTCGCTTGTTCGTCCGAGGGTTAAAGCATAAAAAGGGAATTGTATTATAAATTGTCGATAAAGTAATCGGTTGAATTCACTGATAAGAATTAAAGGGGCTATGTCAGGCTATTTGCTATTTTTTTAAAAAACTAAAACTTTTTTCGCATTAGTTTAATTCAAAAAACAATGGTCCAGTTTTGTTAGTTCAAGCCGGACTCTATTTAGACAGTGAAACTGTTTCTTTTCGTCTGTTGCAACGGATAGTAAGGGAAAGTTCATTTAATATGACTAGTGGGGGGGGGGGGGGGAGAATATTGGGGGGGGGCTCCGAAAATTTTTAGACACCCGAAGGGGGGGCTCTGAAAAAATTGTTGCGCTAGGAGGGGGGGCTCCGAAAATTTGTATACTTCAAAACCAACACATGACATCATCATACAGGTCGGATGGTTTTCAACTCAACAATTTAATGACCTGTGCAACTCAGCTATATCACGTGGTTTACAGATATAACAAATGTAGTCTCAGTAATTATTACACTCTTGTTCATCCCAAAAATGCTTTAGAAAATTGTATCACAACTGTATCTCAAGTTTGTCATAGTATAAACCATTGAAGACAATAACGGTAAATATATTTAATACAGTCTAGCGATCTTTTTTCAGGGGAGCAAAGGAATTGAAGGAGGAGGGGGGGGGGGGCTCTGAAATTTTTTCGACTACCAAGGAGGGGGCTCCTAAAAAATTGAACCGCTAGCGAGGGGGGCTGCTAAAATTTCAAGCTTCGAGTTTCAATATCTTCATCCCCCCCCCTTGTCATATTAAATGAACTTTCCCTAAGGGTGGTAAATGATTGAAACTTGAGAAAGTTAGACCAACCTTATCAATTTTATATGCTATGCCTGCAAAACTCACCGAAAAATTATTGTGGTTAGTGCCCCCTGGTGAAATTTGTTTCATATCTTCTTCATAACTCTATGGAGCATTTTGTGTTTGGGTTAAGGATTGAGAAATAACTTCAGCCCAGAATTGACCTAAAAAAAGCCGTATCCCCGGAACAAAACCCCTTCAATATTAAAGTTTCATAAGACAGTTATTGCAGATTTAGGATTTTGGGCTCCATCTAATTAGCCACGAACTTTCTCACTTTGAAGAAAAGCTCAATCAAAACACCAACAGTCAGGTCTTAACGTTACGGTCAGGAAATCTTGTAATCAGTGAGTTTCAAAAGTTGTATTCCTCAAACAAGTTTCAGGCATACATCATTCTGTGCATTCTTATAAGATAAAATGGCAAAGTTTCCTGAATGTGATTATGTACTGTGACTGAAGACTGTTCAGTATCTTAACACACCCTCCCTTTGCAGCACATATTTAAACTAGCATCGTAGGCCTGGGTCTCGCAACACGCGGGACGGAATCCTGACCGAGATCGTACAGTGCCACCACAGCACATAGCAAGACGTGCATCGTAGCCTTGGGACCCACAACACGCGGGACGGAATCCTGACCTAGATTGTACGGTACCGCCACAGCACATTTCAAGACGAGCATCGTAATAAACTAAAGGCGTGAACTAAAGGATACTTTGTCAGTTGTAGATAAACAGTCGCATATCCTAGCTACACTGCGCGAAAAAAACACATGCTTTGCAGATACTTAAAGTGACGTAACATAATTAATTTAGCTTCTTTTGAAAGGCCATTTTATAAACTCACTGTCATTACCTATACAGTAAAAACCTGTGATTAAGAACCTGGTTTTTCGGAACCTGTAAGGCTAAAATCTGTCAGCTAATTAGGCCCCTCTATACAAGAACTTGCTGAGCCTAAAATTTGAAACAGGTTTATATTTTCTAAACTCTGTAAAAAACATTCTGTACACTGAGGCAAATAAGATAAGTCAACTTCCAGGATCCTCTTTAGAATCATAGGAAACTCATATACTCCACTTTGAGGATTTTATATAAGGAAAATGCTGAACACCACTAAATACTCTTAGCTGCAATGTATTTTTTTCCTCGATGAACCTATTTAAGACCCTAATTAGCCTAAATTGGTGCTAAGTACCATAAAAGGCGGGAAATTGCAGGTTGTAATAGTCAGGGGTTTTTATTGTATTTATTATTTTAACCCCAAATTTATCACCAAGCTATAATAAATGCATGGGTTTGTATAGGTAATAGCATGATTAGTAGTGATATTTGGCATAAATACCACGAGTTTTACGTAAAAGGCGAGTTAGGCGAGTGAAATTTGAGACAATTTTGAAATATCACGAGTAGTATTTATGCCAAATATCACGTACAAATCATGTTATTATTTGTCTATACTACTACCCGCAAAAGGTTTGTAATTTTCACATGTAGGTATTTCAAATTAAGCTGAAATACCACTGCTCTAAGCCAATCAAATTGCAGAAATTTCTCATGTAGTAGTATAAATTGCAGAATGTATTTGAAGAGGTTGTTGCTGAGTGAATACAATGTATATAAAGCATAGTTTCTTTTTTACTACTGAATAAATAAAAAAGGCAATAAAATATTGACATCTACTTATTCATTTATTTACTTTTTTCAGGGAAGATGAACTTGATCCTAAATCAAACAAAGTGCAGCTATTTTAGCAAGAACGTTTTCTGATGATACATGTGCATGAATCATCAGAAAACGTTCTTGCTAAAATATTATGTATGAATCTCAAGTACCTTTGTCATAAGAAAATGAAATAAATGGCAGCAAAATCTGAAAAATCGTATTGATGGAAAAATCTTAGCTTTTTACTTTTTGTAGCCGTTTAGAATGCAAACAAACATCACTTGAGCAACCAAAACAAAGTCATAAATATTTCCAGCCAACATGTCCTCTTGTTAAACATTTCTCTGTTCAAACTCTTGCCCATTTTACACGTACACTCCTGATTTTCCAATTGTCTTTGCGTCTATGGGGTCCATGAGTCTTTGATGCTTTGCTTGTTTACTTGCCTTGTTTACGTCGGCACGTATTGCATGCCTATTGCACATTTGCGTCAAAACAAGCCGTTTCCATTACTCCATTTGGGCCACGCTCAAATAATAAGATATTTCTAATCCAAAATGATGATGATGATGATGATGAGTGAACAATGTTTTAATTCTCCCTATTGTTACACTACTTAATCAAAAAAAGGTGCTGGGAAAAAAGACGAAGATGAAGGTGATGACAATGACGAAATGATGAAAAAAAATCTTGATTGTTAAACAAATTCTCCTTATGAGTACCACGGGAAATGTATGTTGACAGCATGGAGAACATGTATGCTAAAACAATGATACTGATGTAAAGGGAACCCTGGCACGAGTCATTTAATCATTTTAATCATTTTACAAAAATAGGTAGATAAGTAAGAGATACACCAGGCTTAAATAAAAAGAATTTTGTCCTGTGGTGGCCACAAAGAAGGTTAAAAATAAAAAAACCTGATCCTCATTTATGCACCATATATATGTAAAACGATATTATAAATTTCTATAAATAAGCACTTGACGCTCCCTTTCTTTGGGATACTTTTGACATTGACAATGCCTTTATATGCTTCTACACTGCAACGGTAAGGAGGTTAGCAAGATATGTTACCTCAGGGCTAGTTAATGAATCAAACTCCACCTTAGGCCATAGTTTGAGACACCCAGCGAGCCTCAAAATCTGTTTGTAAGGTGTATGTTTTAAGAAGATGAATAGTACATTTGTATTCTAGTCTTGGCTGCAAGCATTGTTGGAAATGTTTACAGCAAACAATGTATAGATGTGAGGTAACTCTGTCTTCTTCACACTGCTTAAACTCTGTTTTAATAGCTAGCCCTCAGGGGCTTATCCCATTCAATTCAATGTACCTATCAGTATGGCGAAAAATATGACATTATGCTGCAATATTCCCTATCACGGCTAAGGAGGAGGGGGGGGGGGGGTGTTTGTTATATCAACATTCCCTTTTATTAATTTTACAGTCCCAATTAACATCTACATGTACAAATAAAAACTTAATTAACCCTTATCATCAACAATTGTTCTCCCACTTGCTCCCTGATCAACAACCAAACTACAAAATTTCAAAATTAAAATCAAGCATGGCTGATTTAGTCCACCAAAAAATATTCCCCTGATTAAGTAATATATTTATGCTATAATATATTCAACTCCGCAGTCTCTAGCTGACAGAGAACAGTTCTTTCAGTTGGTTCATGGTGTCTTCTGGACAAGTAACTTTGTGTCCCTTTGTTCGCTCATCCATGAAAATTTCATAGTCATTACCACCCTGAAAGTGAATATGAAAATGGTTAAAAAATACACATACAAAGTCAAAAATATACAATATTACTTAAATATTTTTTCTTGCTATTATTATTAATATTTAAACAAGACTGTAGCTATTATTATTAGAATGTAAGAGATAATAGCACAGGTTTTGTATACAGCAACAATAATGCTGGAATTTTAGGATTGATCCTTATTATCTTGGATTGATACCAGCAATGAGTCGTCTGTTGGACAGGTTGAAGGTTACAGTGCGACCAGGAAAACAGTGAAATAATTCAGCAATGTTTATTGTGTTATGACCAATCACAGCAAAGATGAGAACACACAAACTAGCCACAAAACCACAAACTAATCAACGTTCTTGCTTGCAGTTTAGTTTTTTCACGTCTGGGTGGCTTTTTACTTGCAACACAATAACATTCCAGAAATATTTCTGGTTTTCAGGGTTTTCCCTGTTTGACTGCAACAGTGAAAAGTGCACTTACAGAGGCTTATCCAGCAGTTTACAGGAAATCCACTTTATTAGAAACAAACGTATTCAAATAGAACGTAACAGAATTAACCAGCTCAACTAGCAGGAAGCAACGCGAGGCAACCAAAAACATATCCAGCGCCCAGGCAGGACTCGAATCTGGGAATGTCGGATTGCAAATCCGATGCACTGATCACTCCGCCATGCTGCTTCCCAACAGTCAAGAGGGCAGACTGGCCAAGACCCGCGCATTGGATTGCAACCTTGGGGGTCCAGCTTCAAGTCCTGCTCTGGCCACTAATATTGATCTCATGGCTTAAAGTTAATTTTACCTTGCCTGGCAGACTGTTAATGTCATTCTAAGGTTTCAAAAAACTGGCCATGTGATAAATGCAAATAATAATTATTATCATTTGAAGCAAATTTTCTTTCTTTTCATTGGCCGAAAGCCAACCATGTGACCTGCAAATAACTGCCTACAAATAATGGTCTGCTCATGCGCAATGCCGTCAACAGTGTTTGGCTGCAAATGATATTCTGCTCATGCGTAAAGGAAACCGTGCTTTTCTCCTTCTTGCAATCACTCTTGCGTGAAAATGGCAAATCGCTTTGCTTCCCAAGGATATTCATTAAAAAAACCAACTCGGCGATCGAATGATAACACAATATTATTATTGAACTCGGTTATCGCAAAATATCGTGATTTGATAGTGTCTTGCAGATCAATTATTTGCCGAAGCCGAACTGCTCACCACAGACAAATCACTATATTTTGCTCAACCTCGTCCAATAATATTGTTAATTGTTTGTTATACACAGCAAGAGAGTACTGCACCTGATAGCACTTATCCCCAAAGAAATGAATTTCCTTGTAACCATCATTTTCCACATGCTTCAGGCAATAAGTCTTGTCCCAGCCTTTTGGGAAGACATCAAAACTTATCTGACCTCCTATACTGAGCTGTAGTCCATAATCTGCAAACTCTTCTCTCAAAACAGACACAAATTTATCCCTAACTTTGTGAACCTGTGAAAAATAACAATTAAAGACCAACTGAGAAGTATTCTATACGTACATTTTGGTCCCAAATATAGCTAAAAACATGGGAGCAGCTATTGTCCTTTCTATCAAAAAACAGGTTGGTCTGTCGGTTAGGGAGAGATGCTTAGATGTGAAAAATGTTAAGATCCACTTACTTTGTCATACTCAAAGAATGCTATTCTTTCTTCCTGTGAACAATTTCTTCCTATTGGCGAAACATTTATCATTCCATTTCGAAACTCTATGAATGTTCCTCTGCAAGAAAATAAAAGCCATAAAATGTGGTAGTTGGACAGTTAACAATAATATTATTGTATAAATCGTTTCTCACCATCACGCAACAAAAAAATAAATTGGAAACCGTCCAGTGGAAGAAGCCAAGAAAATGAAATGTTATAAAACACATATATAAACAATATATTTGTTCAAGTCTCAGGTCTTCGTGGCCCACAGTTTCTGAGTTATGCCATAATGGTGTACCGTTTTGGTGCAGCAATATGGCCCCCGGAAATAAAAAAAAAACATCTGGAGTTCACTTTCTCTATAGAAGCTCTTTCTTTCCCCTGGAGAACAAGCATATGTGTGCATAAACATATCTTCTAATACTTGAAATGGTTATACGGCTGAAAATCAAGAAGAGAGACTTTTCAATGAGACAGCATTCCTATTTTGGTGTCACACACTGCGAAAACTCGGAAGTTCAAATTGCTGTATTTTCGAAATGAAACATGCTACTGGAATGGAAACTTGTATAAAGATTTACGTTTTGTTTGTCTTCAACCTAGTGTAAAAAAGAATGAGTAAAACCTCACTATTTTGACTTAACAATTTGATTATGTTACTGAGAAAACCATCTATTATTGGAGATGAGAAAAGAAATGTGTACATTGAGAATGTAATCACTCCTGTACCCGGTCCCACCCCAACAGATCTTCTCTATGACTGCTTAATAGTTACCTGGTACAAGCAAGGGTGTGCAAACTAAGTCTTAATTCCTGGGATGTATAAAAATTATGTCAAAAGCATTTTGTTGACCATAATAAGATACACCATCATTACCTCTTTAGGAATAGGTACATGTACACTGTACAGTGAATATGTCAAATTAAATGAAATGCTTACATGTATCATGGGTACTTGAGCACTATTAAGGGTTAAAAGGGTTCTAACTAAGATTTCAAGTTGCAGGGTGAATACAACAAGTAGGTGAGGAATCAAACAGCTTGGGGTTTCTTTTGGTTCTGTTTTTCTTCTATTTTTCTACTGGGGGCTACATCCATGGTAGCTGGGGAAAATCCTCAGCCCCTGCTTGTTAATAACAGCTCTGGGTAAACATTTATTTTAGTTTAAAAGTTGAGTAAATGCCTCACCTTCTATAAATTGCCTCTATTTTACTTTATGCAGGTAGTTTTTGTGCACATACATGCATGTAAAAATTACATGACAGTGGAAACCCACCGCTTTATAACCACCAGTTTGTATAATCTGTTGGGCATCCAAAACATGGTTCTTAAGGCTTCTCATCTCGAGTGAATACAGTGTATACCCAAGGTAATTCTAGCGCTATCAGTCGATTGCCCTGCTCATTTCAAATTCTCCCCAGCACACATTATTGTATTGGGAAGTACATTTTGGCATTGACTGTCTCAAGAGTCATGGTTATGATAGAGACTGCTATGAATACTATCTTGAATACACTTGCTTTTAAAAGTTTATGCATTTGTTGACTCTTACCTTTTTACAGGAATATCTAATTCCGCAATGTACTTTAAGCAGAAATTGATGAATGTTTTAAGCTTTTCTTCACCCATAAATGTCTTGATATCCTAATATAAAAAAAATAACACTTCTTAAACAAATCATTACTACATGAAAAAATACAAAAAAGAATAACATCAATCAATGATGTCTAAAAGTCCATTTCTGAATGACTTTGAGCCTCCTTTTCAAAGCAAATTCTGGTGTTTGTTATAACCTACGCCATGAGAATGGTTGTGCATCAGGACTTTCTTTAAATAGAAATTTAGGGCAGCCTGTTCAAAACAAGCTGAAAGCCAGTAGTTTTTCCGCTTTCAGTGAAATACATGTATATTTGCTGCCTAATCAGCACTTACATGTAGGTTGAATGAATAAACAACACACAAATTAAGGCCTTTGCCTTGCCACACTACTCTAACCAGTTATCATGACCAACACGAAAGCTTCGGCTACTTTGGTCACTGTGCACATATCAACAAACTTGTATATTATATTTATTTTTCATCATTTGTTAACCTTTCTGATTCTGTAAGCCATCTTATACTGTATCAACTTGAATAGTGCGAAATAAACTTGAACCTTGAACCTATTCAAAAAAATTGACTGGGTTGTTCAGGTGGATTTTAACTGTCACATACCTTTTTTTGTGCGCTTTCGGGTACATATGTAAATAGAATAAGAGGCAATGTATGAAAGGTCCTACATAAACACATAAAAGTTGAGCGACGTTCAACTCTTCCATTTACACATATTTTTCCATGCAATGCCTCTATCTTATTTATGCGTGTAAAGTTTATCTGTGTACGGATGTGAAAATTATGTGACAGTTGAAATCCACCTTTAGGGTAACTTGAAAATGGGCTCTCCTTTCGATCACAAGATGCATTTTAATAAAATAAAATAATTGATCCCTGGATAATTTTCATTCAAAAAAAACCCACAAGCTTCAAATTTAAGCATGATAACGCCTTCGTAGAAGAAAACCTAGCAAGCTCACATACCTGGTTAAAGAACCAGCTCAGGAGGTTACCATAAAGTAACCTGACAGAAGAAGAATTATGTTCACTTCATTTATAAGGTGAAACTGGAATAAATATTATTATTCCACTAACCTGCCTATGAAACAGTTCTCCATTCTTGTAGGCTACCAGCCCATTTTCAGGGAAAACATAATCATACAAAGTAGTGACTGGAAAATAGAAAACAATGCGTTTCATTTAATACCACGCCACTTGGTACATGTACTGCAAGGATTTCAAGGGCAATAAAATAAATTTTAAGGGAAATCTTACCATTGTCCCCTCCCATTTGTTCTTCGAGTTTTGGAAAGTCGGATCCTCCAACCAAGGCGACTACGACCTTCTCGCGAAGTTTAAGCCGAACTGCTCACCACAGACAAATCACTATATTTTGCTCAACCTCGTCCAATAATATTGTTAATTGTTTGTTATACACAGCAAGAGAGTACTGCACCTGATAGCACTTATCCCCAAAGAAATGAATTTCCTTGTAACCATCATTTTCCACATGCTTCAGGCAATAAGTCTTGTCCCAGCCTTTTGGGAAGACATCAAAACTTATCTGACCTCCTATACTGAGCTGTAGTCCATAATCTGCAAACTCTTCTCTCAAAACAGACACAAATTTATCCCTAACTTTGTGAACCTGTGAAAAATAACAATTAAAGACCAACTGAGAAGTATTCTATACTTACATTTTGGTCCCAAATATAGCTAAAAACATGGGAGCAGCTATTGTCCTTTCTATCACAAAACAGGTTGGTCTGTCGGTTAGGGAGAGATGCTTAGATGTGAAAAATGTTAAGATCCACTTACTTTGTCATACTCAAAGAATGCTATTCTTTCTTCCTGTGAACAATTTCTTCCTATTGGTGAAACATTTATCATTCCATTTCGAAACTCTATGAATGTTCCTCTGCAAGAAAATAAAAGCCATAAAATGTGGTAGTTGGACAGTTAACAATAATATTATTGTATAAATCGTTTCTCACCATCACGCAACAAAAAAATAAATTGGAAACCGTCCAGTGGAAGAAGCCAAGAAAATGAAAGGTTATAAAACACATATATAAACAATTTGATCAAGTCTCAGGTCTTCGTAGCCCACAGTTTCTGAGTTATGCCATAATGGTGTACCGTTTTGGTGCACCAATATGGCCCCCGGAAATAAAAAAAAACATCTGGAGTTCACTTTCTCTATAGAAGCTCTTTCTTTCCCGTGGAGAACAAGCATATGTGTGCATAAACATATCTTCTAATACTTGAAATGGTTATACGGCTGAAAATCAAGAAGAGAGACTTTTCAATGAGACAGCATTCCTATTTTGGTGTCACACACTGCGAAAACTCGGAAGTTCAAATTGCTGTATTTTCGAAATGAAACATGCTACTGGAATGGAAACTTGTATAAAGATTTACGTTTTGTTTGTCTTCAACCTAGTGTAAAAAAGAATGAGTAAAACCTCACTATTTTGACTTAACAATTTGATTATGTTACTGAGAAAACCATCTATTATTGGAGATGAGAAAAGAAATGTGTACATTGAGAATGTAATCACTCCTGTACCCGGTCCCACCCCAACAGATCTTCTCTATGACTGCTTAATAGTTACCTGGTACAAGCAAGGGTGTGCAAACTAAGTCTTAATTCCTGGGATGTATAAAAATTATGTCAAAAGCATTTTGTTGACCATAATAAGATACACCATCATTACCTCTTTAGGAATAGGTACATGTACACTGTACAGTGAATATGTCAAATTAAATGAAATGCTTACATGTATCATGGGTACTTGAGCACTATTAAGGGTTAAAAGGGTTCTAACTAAGATTTCAAGTTGCAGGGTGAATACAACAAGTAGGTGAGGAATCAAACAGCTTGGGGTTTCTTTTGGTTCTGTTTTTCTTCTATTTTTCTACTGGGGGCTACATCCATGGTAGCTGGGGAAAATCCTCAGCCCCTGCTTGTTAATAACAGCTCTGGGTAAACATTTATTTTAGTTTAAAAGTTGAGTAAATGCCTCACCTTCTATAAATTGCCTCTATTTTACTTTATGCAGGTAGTTTTTGTGCACATACATGCATGTAAAAATTACATGACAGTGGAAACCCACCGCTTTATAACCACCAGTTTGTATAATCTGTTGGGCATCCAAAACATGGTTCTTAAGGCTTCTCATCTCGAGTGAATACAGTGTATACCCAAGGTAATTCTAGCGCTATCAGTCGATTGCCCTGCTCATTTCAAATTCTCCCCAGCACACATTATTGTATTGGGAAGTACATTTTGGCATTGACTGTCTCAAGAGTCATGGTTATGATAGAGACTGCTATGAATACTATCTTGAATACACTTGCTTTTAAAAGTTTATGCATTTGTTGACTCTTACCTTTTTACAGGAATATCTAATTCCGCAATGTACTTTAAGCAGAAATTGATGAATGTTTTAAGCTTTTCTTCACCCATAAATGTCTTGATATCCTAATATAAAAAAAATAACACTTCTTAAACAAATCATTACTACATGAAAAAATACAAAAAAGAATAACATCAATCAATGATGTCTAAAAGTCCATTTCTGAATGACTTTGAGCCTCCTTTTCAAAGCAAATTCTGGTGTTTGTTATAACCTACGCCATGAGAATGGTTGTGCATCAGGACTTTCTTTAAATAGAAATTTAGGGCAGCCTGTTCAAAACAAGCTGAAAGCCAGTAGTTTTTCCGCTTTCAGTGAAATACATGTATATTTGCTGCCTAATCAGCACTTACATGTAGGTTGAATGAATAAACAACACACAAATTAAGGCCTTTGCCTTGCCACACTACTCTAACCAGTTATCATGACCAACACGAAAGCTTCGGCTACTTTGGTCACTGTGCACATATCAACAAACTTGTATATTATATTTATTTTTCATCATTTGTTAACCTTTCTGATTCTGTAAGCCATCTTATACTGTATCAACTTGAATAGTGCGAAATAAACTTGAACCTTGAACCTATTCAAAAAAATTGACTGGGTTGTTCAGGTGGATTTTAACTGTCACATACCTTTTTTTGTGCGCTTTCGGGTACATATGTAAATAGAATAAGAGGCAATGTATGAAAGGTCCTACATAAACACATAAAAGTTGAGCGACGTTCAACTCTTCCATTTACACATATTTTTCCATGCAATGCCTCTATCTTATTTATGCGTGTAAAGTTTATCTGTGTACGGATGTGAAAATTATGTGACAGTTGAAATCCACCTTTAGGGTAACTTGAAAATGGGCTCTCCTTTCGATCACAAGATGCATTTTAATAAAATAAAATAATTGATCCCTGGATAATTTTCATTCAAAAAAAACCCACAAGCTTCAAATTTAAGCATGATAACGCCTTCGTAGAAGAAAACCTAGCAAGCTCACATACCTGGTTAAAGAACCAGCTCAGGAGGTTACCATAAAGTAACCTGACAGAAGAAGAATTATGTTCACTTCATTTATAAGGTGAAACTGGAATAAATATTATTATTCCACTAACCTGCCTATGAAACAGTTCTCCATTCTTGTAGGCTACCAGCCCATTTTCAGGGAAAACATAATCATACAAAGTAGTGACTGGAAAATAGAAAACAATGCGTTTCATTTAATACCACGCCACTTGGTACATGTACTGCAAGGATTTCAAGGGCAATAAAATAAATTTTAAGGGAAATCTTACCATTGTCCCCTCCCATTTGTTCTTCGAGTTTTGGAAAGTCGGATCCTCCAACCAAGGCGACTACGACCTTCTCGCGAAGTTTCTTCATAAATTCCTTCATTTCTGGGGTGACTACCTGAACAAAATATGAAACCGAGAAAGATGCTGAGATCGCGCTTTCTGTCAGACTTTGTGTAGGTCGACGGGAAGCCGTTTAAAATATAACGTCACAATTTACACCCTTTTTTAAAAGTAATAATGAACGATCGCTAAAACGTACCAATCTGGCTGGAGTAACCGTGCCATCTACATCAAATAAACACAGAATATCTCTTGAGGAGTTCACAGCAGCCATTTTGTCGATCAATGTTCGCAGACCGGAAAACTTTGATCGAAGGCGCTCGCGACACGTCACCACGCACACCTCCAAAATAAACCAATCTCCTCGCAGCATTCCTCCCAGGGGACTTAAATTTTACCACGGTGATATTGAACACTTTTGTAGCCAAGACAACGGGCGCGATCCATTCAACCAAACTTTCCGGAAATTTCGGTCCAAAACTCAACGGATCGGTTCGGTCCAACCGGAAAAGTTTCGAAAAAACGGGTCCACCTTTTGAGGTGGTCCTCTTTTCCCGGTCGGACCGGTTGGAATTTTGGTTGAATGGATCGCGCCCAATAGCTCCTCTCATTTTCATATTCCCTTCGAGGCTCGCTTTTCAGACCTTTTCCTCGTTCCCTGGTTGCAGTTGCGTTGGAGCAAGAGAGAATGAGCTCATTCTCTCTTGGTTGGCGTTAGCACTCCCGTGAGCTTTAGCGTGAACGAAGTCAAATCGCAAGAAAAAATAGGAAGGAGGGCTGGGGTGCTTTCTCCTCCGCGTAACATCAGGGAGCCAATTAACCGGCTCATTGTTTCATCGAACTCCCCTCCTCACCATACCCCCCCTCCCCCCCAAAAAAAGAGAAAGAAAGAAAGAAGAAAAAAGAAACCATGTGAAATTCTCATTATAAAATCTGAATTTACTGACAAATTACTAAGTAAAAAATCGGAATCGCTGGGACAAAAGCAAGTTTTATTCTCGGCAAGGTACTGTACCGTACTTCCCAATGGCCTATACGGGGAGTTAGCCTGAAAACGTACGCCTCTTGGTAGGTGCCTTGAGGTTTATAAAAAAAGTAGGGATTTCCGATAAGTTGAGGTAAAGGACGCGGTAAACTGAAGTGTGAATAAAAATTACTGGAAAAAAATTGGAGCGCAAAAGCCGTACAATATAAAAATGCTATTTTTTGTCCAAACAAGTAGCCTCTATGCACTAGTATAGACAGTGGAAAGCCCCGCAGCCCCATACTCGGGAAATGTGCACGGGCAGTTTGCTGTTGGGGATAATGAAAAGATTAAGACGCTTGTCACATTTGTCTTCATCTTTATTCCCAAGTGGTAAACTTCCTGTGCGAATGTGATGGCAAGTCTAAAAAGCTTAAATAAAATACCAAATACAAGGGTTTTCATTGCAGCTGAAAAAAATGTATGGTTAGAAGTATTGAAGTTGGTGGCCTTATTTCTCTTCAAAACAGAAACCTGCAACGCTAAAAACTCTTGAGAGTTTTTCGTAGAAGCTATATTTTGCTTTGTTAAGATTTGTTTCCAAAAGAGAAAGACATATACCGGTTAAGTTTGATGAATAGAAGTCCTTTAATATTACCACGCACTCAGCATAAAGTTGTTCTTCTTGTAGTGCTAACTATGTTCGCCGTAGGTTTCTGATTACTCTGTTTTTTGCAATAAAGCTTTAGGTAGGAATATCCTTTCAGATATAGTCTGTCAGCACTCTACCTCTATTCGTGCGTCAACTTTCACAAATGTGTTAGCATAGCATTTTAAGGTTAAATTTGACCAGCATTTTGTGCAGCGAGTTCTACGGTCGCTCTGAGGCTTATTTGCTGAAGTTAGGGAAAAATCTGTCTTGGGATTTCGAAGTTATTTACATTTTTCGTAAAAATGTGGTTGTAAATATATGCCGATATCTCAATGGTTTTCATATCAACAAGAAAACAAATAACATTTTCTTAAAGTTCTATCATTATGTATTCGGTATGCCAAAAATCATAGAAATCGGTTGAATCTTTCATTCTGAAAAACGCAAATCAAAAACATAACCAACACGCATATAAATAGGTTCGGGCCACCTTAAATCCAGAGAACCAGTGTCGCTGAAGCCACACGTATTGAGTTTGACTCCCTTCAGTGGTGAAGGGAGTCAAAAGGTTTACTCATGTCCATTGCTAACAAGTAAACCTTCTCCTTAATGTCGAGGG